TTTCGGGTGCTGAACAGCCACTCCCTCTAAGGAGATCTGGAAGGGTTACCAGACGACCAAAAACTTTGAGCGATTATGTTTTGTATTAAGTCTAGTTTTTTTCGAAAGACTCAGTCTTTCTATTGAACTCAGCTATATTTATATTGCCATTTGACAAGGACTTGACTGATTGCATTTTTTTATTCTAAGATTGTTTAAGTTGAAACTAAGTATATTATTTGCATAATCTTCATTGATGTAAGTGTATGTGCGAAGGAAGAGAGAGAATGTAGTGTACAGCAGTTGTATGAGCAAGAGTGCATAGCGTACAGCGGTTGTACGTGTAGGACATACGGGAACTGAACAGTGTAAGCGGGCGTAGAGTGAGTGAGTTGACTTGCTGTTGAGCAGAGCAGATGAACGAATAAAGCGTTCGGTTTTATTTGCCTTTGTGGCTGTTAATACTCTACTCGACCGCAAATACGTCTGTGTCCGCAGGCTAGGTACTGTAAGTAACAAATTGTTTTGTATCTTTTGTTTTCCTTTTTTTTTTTAGATTCTTTCTGTTAACAGATGTGTCTTAGAAGACAGCGTTTCGGAAAACACAATTAATCTTGTTTCCAACGACGCCCAAGTCATTGAGAAATTGGGACATTATGCTTTCAATGCGTCATTTGGAATCCTGGATGTAATACTCGCTTTGATTCTTCTGTGGTATTTAGTAGCCTGGCAAGCTCTGATAGGAGTTTTCTTCTTCGTCTTAATCATTGTCTATAATACCCTGGCAGGTCATAAATCTGGAAAGATTCGCGCTAAAGCTGCCACACAAACTGATAGAAGATTGGAGATAATAAAAGAGATTGTTTCTGGGATCCGTTTGGTGAAAATGTGCGCTTGGGAGGGGAACTTCAGGAAACTGGTTGCACAATTGAGACGGTTAGTAGTTTCTGTTAGTTAATTGTTTAACAAGAATGGTACTTTGTTAGTTTGAAGTCGTGAGGTTTGAACAACTTGCATTAAAGAGGATTCACGCTTATTACATGCTCTGACCACCTCCCATTCACGTTCACACTAAATGTTAATCATGTATGAAAGAGGGTTTTTCACTTACAACCCCACCCACAAACCTAGTTGGTCTGCTAGTTTCCGCTTTTCAAGTTTTTCTGTCCCTAACATTGATGCTGCGTCATCACAGGGCTAGCATGTGGTAGAACAGGGCTTTCAAATTCTTTCAACCCTCAGCCTATTGGCCATGCCTGAGCTACACCATGCAGGAACATAAAGGGTTGAGCGGGGTAGCAAGTAAATATGACGCTCATACTATCCTGTCATAAACCAGCCAGTTGACATGAAATTACGACAGTGTTTGGTCTGTTTAGTGTGAAAAAAAAGTTTCAAGTGAATTACCCGTATCATTCATTAAGGTAGAGTGCATCAGCGCAAGAGACTATTACAGCAGCTTTTTTGAAATGAACTCTTTTATATGCGAGAGCACCGTGTGCTCAAAATTTTAAAAGGAAGGTTGACGATCTGTCTACTTGAACTCTTATGAACAAAAATACTATTTTGCAGAAAAGAAACGTCTCTGATTCGTGTACGTGGGTTTTTTATCTCCACTATCTACGCCCTGTTTTTCATTAGCCACACCATTGCAGGGTTTCTATCAGTTGCAACACTGGTTTTCACGGAACGCAGCCTGACATCATTCACGGTGTTCACACTGCTTTCAATTTTAGCGAATATCAAGTTTTTTGTAACAACCTTTGGAGACAGTCTAATATGGTTTGCAGACTCCATGATTGCATTAAGAAGAATGCAGAGATTGTTGGAAACGAAACCAGTCATCGAATCTAAACTAAGCAAACGACAGAATATGTCTCCTTTAAAAGTTTATTTTAAAGGCAGGAGGTATAAACCACACTTAGTTAGAACAGAGAGTTTCAAACCAGAAAAACCAGCCTTGATGAGTCTTCAAAAGATTGAGGACTTCCAAGCTGTTCAACCTCAAGCTGTGCTCGAAAACATTTCCAGTTTGTGGAACTATTCGTCAGATCGCCCAGCATTACAAAACGTTTCATTGCAAGCTTCTAGTGGACAACTTATAGGTATAACTGGACCAGTAGGGAGTGGCAAAACATCTTTATTGATGACCATCTTGGGAGAAATTCCAATATCATCTGGTCAAATGTCATGTACTGGAAAAATGGCTTACGTATCCCAAACGCCTTGGGTCTATTCTGGCACGGTGAGAGAGAACGTTGTATTTGGTATGCCTTTCGTCGAAGAAAAGTTTAATAAGATCATCGAAGTGTGCGACCTAGGAAAAGATCTATCACGATTTCCAAAACGTGATCTCACGGAGATAGGACAACGTGGAGTAATCCTGAGTGGCGGTCAGCGTGCACGAGTGAGTCTGGCACGAGCAATTTACTCAGATGCTGATATCTACTTACTAGATGATCCTCTCAGTGCAGTGGATGCCAAAGTCGGCAAACATTTGTTTAAAAAATGTATTGACGGATTTCTAGCTGGGAGGGTGCGGATTTTGGTGACACACCAATCACAGTTCCTCCAACATACAGACAACGTTGTAGTACTTCACAATGGTTCCGTAGAGTACCAAGGTACCTTTGGTCACATGGAGAAAGAAAGGATGAGAAATTTTTCTATTGTTTCTCAAAGAAGTCAAGAGAATGATATAGATGATCATGGAAACGTTTTTGGTGAAGCTGTCAAGAGCGTCAATATTGTCCATAAACTTGGAAAGAGAGTGGATCTTAAAGAAGAGGAAGAGGATCGAATGGTTGGGACTGTAAAATGGCAATTGTATTGGAAATACTTTAGAGCCTCCCTTTCAACTGGTCTTATTTTTAGCCTTGCCTTCTTCTTCGTCGTTGTCCAAGGTATTTATATATAAGTATAAAATTAATAGGACAGTAAGTGTCATGCGCTTTGGGTGCTGTCATAAGACAGTTAAACTTCAATGGGCTTTTTGTTTGTTTGTTTTGTTTACTTCTAGGAAAAACTCAAGGGATATCTTGTGCTTGTCTCTGATTTTGATTTTGTTATGATTCAATGCATGGTAAAAGGTCTTCTTATATTATCGTCGGTCGTCTTGTCGTTCGGTCTGCAATCATACTCGTAATCAAACAAATTAGACTCTTGCTACGTGGTCGTCCTTTTAATCTCTGGTACAATCACACGTCAAACTGGACTCCGCTATGTCATATTAACATTATACGCTTAATGTCTGTATCTCTCCTTGGATGACTTCGGAAACTGTTGCTTACTAGATTGAGAGGTGTTGAGTTTGTTTTTTTCCAATTTTCCCGTCTTCTGTAACGCCACTTTCATGGTTCCATGCTTTGATCTCGTGCTGATCACGAGGGGAGTATAATTACTCAAATTTATCACGATAAGGATACATTTTAATTTAGTCAATGCCACCTGACTAAGAATCAACCAATGGCTGTCCCTGTTTAGTTGAGTGAAAGTCTAAGGATATAACAGTATACAGCGCAACCTCGATATAACGAACCTCTATNCTATCACGATTTCCAAAACGTGATCTCACGGAGATAGGGCAACGTGGAGTAATCCTGAGTGGCGGTCAGCGTGCACGAGTGAGTCTGGCACGCGCAATTTACTCAGATGCTGATATCTACTTACTAGATGATCCTCTCAGTGCAGTGGATGCCAAAGTCGGCAAACATTTGTTTGAAAAATGTATTGACGGATTTCTAGCTGGGAGGGTGCGGATTTTGGTGACACACCAGTTACAGTTCCTCCAACATACAGACAACATTATCATACTTCACAATGGTTCCGTAGAGTACCAAGGTACCTTTGGTCACATGGAGAAAGAAAGGGTGAGAAATTTTTCTATTGTTTCTCAAAGAAGTCAAGAGACTGACATAGATGATCGTGCAAACGTGGTTGGTGAAGATGAAGCTGTCAAGAGCGTCAATATTGTCCATAAACTTGGAGAGAGAGTGGATCTTAAAGAAGAGGAAGAAGACCGAATGGTTGGGACTGTAAAATGGCGATTGTATTGGAAATACTTAAGAGCCTCCCTTTCAACTGGTCTTATTTTTAGCCTTGCCTGCTTCTTCGTCGTTGTCCAAGGTATTTATATATAACTATAAAATTAATAGGACAGTAAGTGTCATGCGCTTCGGGTGCTGTCATAAGACAGTTAAACTTCAATGGGTTTTTTGTTTGTTTGTTTTGTTTACTTCTAGGAAAAACCTCAAGGGATATCTTAAGCTTGTCTCTGATTTTGATTTTGTTATGATTCAAGGGTGAAAAGTCTTCTTATCGTCGGTCTTCTTGTCATTCGGTCTGCAATCATACTCGTAATCAAACAAATTAGACTCTTGCTACGCGGTCGTCCTTTTAATCTCCGGTGCAATCACACGTCAAACTGGACTCCGCTAAGTCATATTCTTGGATGACTTCGGAAACTGTTGCTTACTAGATTGAGAGGTGTTGAGTTTGTGTTTTTCCAATTTTCCCGCCTTCTGTAACGCCACTTTCATGGCTCTATGCTATGATCTCGTGCTGATCACGAGGGGGGTATAATTACTCAAATTTATCACGATAAGGATACATTTTATTCTAGTCAAGGCCACCTGACTAAGAATCAACCAATGGCTGTCCCTGTTTAGTTGAGTGAAAGTCTAGGGATATAACAGTATACCTAAGAAAATCACTTCTCATAAACTAACAATGACTAGAAACCACTGGATCAAATACACAATTTGTTTGTTTGTTTGTTTGTTTTTGTTGTTGTTTCAGTTTTATGGATCGCTCCGTATTGGTGGGTTTCACGAATGATCGACATGCCAAAAGAAAAACAGAAGGACTATACAACGCTCCTGGTGTATGGGTCCATTGTCACATTATCCTTGGTGTTTACAATTCTATCCTCATTTTGCTTTTATCTGACAGCTTTAAAGGCATCAGAAAATCTTCATAACAAGATGACTAAAGCGGTTATTGAAGCACCAGTCATCTTCTTTGACACAAACCCAGTTGGTCGTATCTTAAATCGATTCTCTAAAGACATTGGTAGTATGGACATTATGCTTCCACCACAATTTCTCCTCGCAGTGCTATGTTGTCTTTATTTCTTCAGTGCTACCATCCTGTCTGCTGTGGTAAACGTGTGGTTATTTATCATTTGTGTTCCACTGACAATTTTGTTTATCTACCTTGCAAAGTATTATTTGAAATCCTCTCGGGAAATCAGACGGCTGGAGGCAGTGACTTGTAGCCCTGTTTATTCACTCATTGCCGATACTATAGCAGGATCAGAAGAAATTCGCTCATCAAAGATGGAAGATGATTTCCTGCAGAAATTTTTCAAGTATGTAACTTAATTTGCTCCTGAACGCGGCGTTCGGTATGTTATGCTGACGAATATGGGTGTAACTTTAATTCTTATATTTTCATTTTTGTAAGCATAAAGACCAGTTAAAATAATTGTTCTAGGTGTACATAGCATTTGAAATGATTATAGTTTAACTTTTCCTAAAGTATGATTAACACTAAGCGTAGACCAGCAGGCGGGTATGTTTCTATTAAACACTCAGTGATTCATAAGAACTGGCAATAAAAGACAAAAAAAGGAGAACACATTTCTTCTGTGTAAATTACTTTAGGTACCAAGACAAAAACACATCAGCCTTAATAATGCTACTGGCATCAACACACTGGCTTGGGCTCCGTGGAGATTCAATAAGCAACGTTCTTGTGACGTCTGTTTCAGTTGGAGCCATGTTAGCGACACAAAGCCCAGGTGGGTATCTTTATCGTCCTCGTCCCGGTCGTTCAAACAATGGATAGCGCTATCCAACCGAAAAATCACTATCCAGCGGATAAGTATTAGGGAAACCAACTGCGTTATCCACAGGATAGAGATTTATCCAGTGGATAGTGTTATCTCCGTTTCGAACAACTGGGCCCTCGAGAATAAGCTACTTTATTTGAGAAGATTTTTTTTCAGCATCTACTTATCCCTAAAATGCTAGTTAATTTGTTTTTAAAATGATCACAAGCCCTTTTTTCCACAATGAAACCAAGACGAACGCCTGGCGGTGCCTCATTCTGGAAAATCGGCTAACTTGGTGTCAGAAAACAAAGAGTCGTTTTCTATAAGCCAAGATGCGCCAATATTGAATGCGTTTGTAACAGAAACAACGACAAATATATTAAAAGTATATAGAGCCACTGTATTCAGCCAAATAAAGATTTTCGTAAGGTTGACGTAGTCTCAGACTGGTAATATGAAATGAAAAAGAGCGAAAACAGCATTGAATTGTGAAACCAGTGAACTCATGTTTCACAGTCCACCAGTATATTTTTAACAGAGATGTCGTACTATAAGACGCGCGTCAGAGGTTCCCTTAAGTTTTTATACCTCATTGATACAGGAAAGTGATAGGAAAACTTACTCGTGGCACTGGGGGTAGAACCAATTTCAGGAACACCGACCCCAACAAGTTCCTCAAGGGAAAAACTTTCTGAGGGTTAATATTTCAGTAAGTCTGTATGTCCGTCATAATTAAAAGGATAACCATTGGATTCTGATGCTTTATGAACTAAAGCGGCTAAGCCTTCGTTTACTTTCCTATCAGCTGTAACAGGTACATATTTTGTCTTTGCTCTTAACCCGGTCTTCCGATTAAGTATTACTCTGTCTGGTCGTCTACTAATTCTCGGAAAGTAGTAAGAAAACGTTTGTGTTTGTTTGCAGCGTTGGCTGGCATGTCTCTGACATTCGCACTGGAGACGTTAGAGGCTGCACAGTATGGCATTTACGTCGCTTCGGAGACAGAAAATCACATGACATCAGTGGAAAGAGTGTTTACCTACACTGAAATCGATCCAGAGCCTGGGTATTACGCAGAAACCCAATCCCCTCCTGAAGACTGGCCAACAGCGGGCTCCATGGCATTACATGACTTGTCGCTTACATATTTGGAAGGTGCTCCATCAATTTTGAACGGCATAAACGTTTGCTTCGCAGCTCAGGAAAAAGTTGGAATAGTAGGTCGCACTGGAGCTGGAAAATCGTCTTTGGTGGCTGCTTTGTTCCGAATGCCAGAACCAGAAGGCAGGGTAAGAATAGTCTTCTTCTTTTCTTTTTGTTACGATATATCGCGATGTTGTAGTTGGCAGCAACATGTTTTGGTGTTGCTGGAAGCTCTTGACAACGCTTAAATAAGGCCAAACTTTTGAGTCAAAAAGTCTCGACGTTTATGTTTCATAATAGCTGGGTGTTTTCTTTTTCAAAGCTTTCCCAGCCATTCTCGTCCCAAGAGGCGTGATCCATTTGGCCAGTGCCTGGCACGGATCTAGAGCTCTGGCTGGGACCAGGATAACACGCAGGCGCAGTAGTCTCACATTTTAGTAACCGTTGGTAACCCTTTTCGCTTCAAATTTTTGAGGATGCACAGAAAGCCTGAAGCCCTTCATTTGAGGAGTTCCGGCATCTACTCTAGCTTTCGATCTGCAGCATTTATCACAAGGATCAAAGCCTTGGGGACGAGAATGTTGTGCACTCGAATGCGTATTACTTGTCGTATCCTTAGTAGTATCCAATGCGCATGCATGCAAGAATTATATACATAGTAAATGCCAGAAAAACAAAAAGCTGGTCGAATGCATTACATTTGCTTTCACAGGTGATCATAGACAATGTCAACATCAAAGATCTCAATCTGCAGGCGGCTCGCAGGTCCATGGCTGTTATAACTCAGGATCCTGTCCTCTTCAGCGGCAGCCTCAGAAGTGGATTACAAAACAGATCGTCTGATTCAAGAAGTTATACGCAACAGATTTCAAGATTCTACAGTGATTACCATCGCCCATCGCTTGAACACCATCATGGACTATGACAAAGTCTTGGTTATGGATCGGGGAAGAGTGGTGGAGTTTGATAAACCTGACGTCCTGCTACGGATTAAAAATGGTCATTTCTCTCGCCTTGTTCAGACTTACGAGAGGACTGCCGATTACTGATGGACACACTTGTATGTTTTTTCTTCAACTTAGGATCAATGCTTTGGAGAAGGAAAGTAGGAAACACACACTTACCACTTCTATTGCTCTTGTTACTAATAAAGAAGGACGGGTTAGAATTTAATTTGGGGGCGATCTTTTAGGAGGGAAGAAAATATTTAGGTCGCGGAAGACAACTTCCATATTAAATAAATTCTTTATATCGGCAAATTTTCTTATGAGAACATCTTTTAAGACGTCTGTTCCTGACGATCGAGTTCAAACTCACGTCAAAAGATGAGAGTTTAACAACCATTTGTTTTAATGTAATGCATTAATTGACAATTTTATATCAAGAAATAGTAAACGTGCAGAGCGTGTAATCATCGACTTATGACTGTACGTGTGTGGTTAGTTGATTAGGGTATGAAAGATTTGTAAGGGTTGCCGAGAGCAACTTTTACTACCTTAGTGTTCAGCAAAACTTCCCAGGTGCATCCCAGGGAGGGTTGGGGGGCGGGAGGTGACTCTCTTGTTTTCCAACTTCGTTTCTTGAAACACTCCGCGTGCCAGTGTGACGTCATAAAGTAACGGGCGAGAGCTTCAGGTCACTGTGCAAATTAGCGAGGGACACCACAGTCATTAGGAGCAACTTCGGAGAAAAGAAGAAAAGCTAGCAAATATTGCTATATATCGCTAAAATAAATTTGATCATAAGTGTGTGAGCTTTGTTATTGCTTTTATCCGCTCGTGTAAACCGTCTTGGTATTTTGTGTCCGTAAATGTGTAATTTTGTTAATTTTTGTCGCAGGCCTTGTTGCGGGATCGCTATCTTCCTTACGGGACCAGCAAGGTCATCAAAAATTAGTTCTTTTTTTTTCTCTAAAATAGGCAACTTCTAGTCTCCAGAATACATCTAGGAGGTTCGATTCAGAGAGCACACACGTTTATATTTCATATATTCTTTTGCCGATTAAATCGATCGTCCTTAATATCAATCCCCTCGAGTGTGGGCCTCTGTTAATTTCTTACATTCTCCATCAAGTTCAGTACAGCCAGTTTGATCGATTATCCGCACATCGATCGGCACATTAAACTCGAAAAAAATGAGAACTAGCTTTGAAATACTTGTTCATTTGCTAATTTTTCTGGAATGTATCATTGAATTCATGATAAATACAGCTCCACCCGCTTCAACCAGTGTCTGTGGCAGAGAAAAATGGTTTTAATATAACAAATTTACTTCTAATCACCAAAATATGAGTGTTGTCCCGGTACAGTGGTCAAGGAGTTGCTTGCACGTGCAGATGAACTAGGCGAAGCTGTTTTCTGTTTCTTCATTGTACATTTTTTTTTGTAGTTTTTGTTTTCTAATCCTATTTTTCCCTTTGGCTGGTTTCCCTTTATTCTTACTGCTGACCCTTTACAGTTTTACCTTGGGAGGTTTTTGCGATAACGTATTTCTAGTAAGGGCTGATTGTGTGGTAGTTTTGATTTGTCTTAAATTGCTTATAAATTGTTGCTTTCTGCTTAATCCTTCAAGGTAAATTATCACTGTGGTTGTTTTGCTGTTGTCATCGTGTGTAGTTGCGCCTGCAGGCATTTTTGAAAATTGTTTGGTAGCTAGTTCCTCAATGGGAAAAAAACACTGTGCTGTAGTTACGTTTGATACGCGAAGCGAACTTTGAAGGGATTGATATTGGGATCCACTGGCTCTAACGTGAGACTTGACGTCATACTGGAACGAGGACTGAATCACCAGTTTCCTTGGAGACACCTTCCCCCCACCCCGGTACATCCATAACTCGATATTTTCACAGCTGAGGCGTAAAAGGAAAGCAAATCATATTCACGTAAGAGTTAATGCGAATAACGGTAAAATAGCAAATATAAGCAAAATATTCCGTGAGTCGGCTTTCCTCCAATTGGAGAATCCGTACTCCCTAACATGCGGTAACTAAACGGTATGCGGCGGCGCTGTTGTGCCAGGATAGGGTTTTCAGGGTATCTAGTCAGAGTGAACACGTTAACTATATTTAGCGTCTTAAACGGGGTATCTTTTGGACCAGCAACCTTCAAAAGAGTGTGAAGGTAATGATGATGTTATGACTTATGATGTTAGGTTATGATAAGTTATGATGATTATAGAACTTTAATTACGCATAAATTCCAAAATATTTTGAAATTCCTCTTCTAGATTTTTGTGAAACTTCGTAGAACAGTAAAACACTTGCGATATCATTGTCATGTGATGTTAATTTCGATCGCAAAAAAATGATATCATAATAAAGTTCAGTCCAAGTGTAACCATGGCTTCAATAATGACATGCACGAATCCACACCGGTTTCCACCGTTTTACGGAAATTGGTCGGATTTTTCATGATAAATATACTTTTAATAATAAGACAAATTTTCCAATTTTAAATCTAGAAAATGGTTTGGACTCGCCTTGCTCCATATCCTGACTACAACACGTAAATTGACCTTGATGAAATAATCCGCCGCTTTGCAAGGCTTCATCCGAGGAGAGTAGAACTGGCCAATATCCTGTCTATATGACTCATAAACCCAGGAAAGAGGACTTTAGGGATTTAAAATCCAAAAAATTTCAAGGGGCGGGGGGCATGCCCCCCGACCTCCTAGAAACTTGCGCCTTCGGCGATCGTTTAGAAAATCGGTCAGTATTTATCCTAAATTCACGCCTGAATGTGCAAGCTGTTTACGTAGAACTGGTCTAAAAAAGGAAGCTGCGTCTACAAAAATACTGGATCGCACCACCTTAAGGATAGCTGTATAGAGAGTAAGTGAAAAAAAAACAACACCAGCGACCACCAGCTGAAGGTGGATTATTTTATCTTTTAAATGGCCAGTTCTCTTAACTGCCGCTGTAATTGCCTTGTTTTTATAAATGCCTGACAAGGGTAACCAAAATACTAAAGGTAAGCTTAAAACATTTACTTCATTCAGGTTAGGATATAAATTAAAGTTAACAAGGCCATTTTTCATCTCAGTTAACCTGGAGAGAATATTAACAACTCACACTCAATCTTTAGACACTTCTCCAACTGAGATCACACTGATTCGTCTGTGTGATAATATTAATACATTTTCACACTGACTTCCAATTAACTTCACACTGATTCGTACGATAATTATATTAATACATTTTCACAATGACTATCTTACTTTCGATCTTTTTCAGTTGGTGTGGGAATTTGGCTCTGGAGTTTTGGTTTGGGTAAGAAAATAACCAGGTGATTTTACATAAATCTTTATATCATATGAATAAAGTATTGTACATGATAAGGAAGACTGGCAAAAGAAACAGCTGACAGGAGCGAAAATTTATTGATTGCAACAAGGAAATCACATTGCTACTGAATTGAAGAAGATATTTCAGATATTTTAAGGACTTTTTACTCTCTCATTATCTTGGCTTTCCTGTTGTCGTGGTGGATCGATTTTGATCGACCTTTAACAAGACTTGTTAATAAATCATAAACTTAAGATACAAAATCACACATCCTGACACATTGTGGCAGGTTTGGACAATACTGGTGAAAGAAATCCCTGTTTAAAACAAAGAATTACACCCGGGATATTCTTAAAGAACGAAATAGACGATGATAGATTAGTGACGGGTGCCACAAATTGACCCCACTGTTTATAACCTGAAAGTTAACCAGCGATTAGGCGGAGCTAATCCTCCCTTTTCCAACGCCTGATCACAGATTACCTGGAAGCTAGAAAATTACAAGTGATATCACAATAAATTCAATTTGAATAAATACATTCTAGCTTTTATGTTCGCTTTAAAAAAATCGTTTCATTTCAGTCACTACTTCGATTTAGCGATTGCGGAATCAACAGTATTAAAAGGCCATTTTAATAAGAGGCATGTTACTCTAAAGCGTATGAGTCGATGTGCAGGGTTTTCTTTTTGCGGAGAACCAATCAAATTTATTTGCTAATATGGAATTACAGACTGATGCGCGAGACTGTCGCAAGAAAGATTAGGAAAACCTTGTTTCGCGATGTAAACGAAGATCTACAAAGGGTAATTACAGTTGTATAATGTAAATTTCAATCAAAATCGGAATATTGTTCCTAAAATAGCTTGGATTGACTTCCTCAGGATAAGAAAAAGTAGACTAATCATGGTAAGCATCCTACGGCTATGGAGCTGGCTTTACGAAAGCTAGCGCGCGCTCAAAAGAGTGCCAACATTTTAGGCGATTTGAGTTTAAGAACACATAAAATGCTTAACAATTTACCTTACCAAATTCTACTATAATGGTAGTAACTCTCAAACACCTCCTCGCATTGCCTTGATAGGATGGAAACCAGGGAAAAAAAACTGCACGACACTATAACAAATTTTCAGAGATAAACAAAATAGTTACAAAGCCAATTAAGAATTAAATCTGGCCATGTTTAAGCACTTCTACGCAAGAGTGAGCCTTGGGATTGGGCGGTAGAAAAAATTGGGAAAAAAGTAGAGAAAAAGTCTAGAATAAAGTTGGGACAAAAGTTGGGATTAAAGTCGACAAAAAAAGTCGGGAAAAAATTCGAGAATAAGGTCGGGATAAAAATTTAAAGGGGAGAAAAGAGCCGACAAAAGAAAAATCGAGCACGAAATTTGCATGGAATTATTCCAGTTCCGTAGAATTTAGCCTGCAAAACAGCTGACATTCCGCGACGCCCACCACTCGTTTCGGGGGGAAACCAGTGGTCGCGAAATGTCGGCTGTTTTCTCAGTAGGCTACGTAGAATTCGCCCTGTTTCTAATTTCATCGCAGTCATTCCATCTCGTTCATTTTTTAGAATATCGGCAAATTGTTTTCCTGGAGTTGATTTCTAGAGAACTGAGTCTAAGGCCCACCTCATACGTCGTAC